AGAGAGAGAGAGAGAGAGAGAGAGAGAGAGAGAGAGAGAGAGAGAGATAGAGAGATATCACTGTGAACCACAGGAATCTTTTGAAACCTCGAAGCTGACCCCCAGTGACATACCTTCTCCAGCATGTTTCCTAATCTTTCTCAAACAGTTCCAACAACTGGGTGCCAAGAATTGAAGTACATGAACTTTTGGGGGCCATTCTCATTCAAACCACAACAATCAGTACAGATAAATTATTTTGGAAATAAGTGTTTTGCAAGAGCAGGAGAACAATTGCATACGGAAATAGAAAATCAGAACTAATTGGACTTAATGCTTACAAAGCCAAGGAAAATTATAACCTTTGCATATTATAAATAAATCTTTCTTTTGGAATTGCTTATCTTAATTACATTTTAAAAGTTTCTCTAGTGGTCCTAATATGTGGAGACCAAAAGTCTATAGTTGGTCATATTTTTCTTATAGAAAGTATAAAAGTAAATTTAAAAAAATTAATGAATTTCTTTTTTAGACTGTTGAACTCCTGTATATAGCACGAGCTGGCTACTTTCACTCCTGTCCACTCCCTATTCATCAGCTTCTCCCTAAAATCTATTACGTTTATTTGTGTCAATTTGAGAAACAGTTTTTTTTTGTGATATATATGTAGCCTATATATATATATAGGCTAATAAACTAGCTTCAATGAGAACAATACTGAGATTCATCCTGAATGAGCATCTTTGAGTTTGTGTCATAGAATTGAATTTACCTTTTAAAATTTAGTTTTTAAAAACTTTTTATTGATTTACTTTTTCTTTGGCAATGGCATACAAGTTTTTTTTTAAATGTAGTTTCGTTACTTACCCCACCCTGTTTTCTCTCCTTCTCACCACTGATATAACCTTTCCTTACTAAATCTCTTTTCCTATATTCATGACTTTTGATTTTGTTTTGTTTCCCTCTGACTGTGGTCCTGGATTTGGGTCTGTCTACTGCAGTCTGTGGGCTCAGTAGTGGACACAAAACTGGGTACTATGCATTTCTTTCTGTCAGAGTCTGTTGACAATTCAGTGAGTGCTAGGGCTCCATGAGCTCCTCTCACATCCGTAGCTGACCGTGGGTATGATTGGTCTTGTAGAGGTCATGCAATTTCTTTCCATGGCTGTGCCTTGCTTAGCAGATGCTATTCCATAACTCTTCTCCTCATCTTCCTGCTTTCTTGCCCCTGAATGTGATGATTCCCGAGCCTTACGGAGGTGGTGCAGATGTTTTGTTTAGGACTGATCTCTGCTGCCACGTGTTCTCAGTGTCTTGTGCAGCCGTGGGTGTCTGCACTGACCTCTCACTGCAGAGAGCTGCTCTTCTGATTAACTGTACACTAGCATTTGTGGGTCCATTCCTGGTTGGGCCGCTTGAGGCAGGTCATTTGGGAAGGTGTCCTGGATGAAGGTTTTTTAAACCTTAGACTTTTGGGTATAGCTTTAGGTATATCTTTGAATATGTTATTTAGTCTCAATTTTCCAAGAATTATTTTCCAGAAAAGTTTCTGTTTAAATGAATAATTCTAATTTATCCTATTGAAATATAAGATATCAGAGAATACTTTATTTTCCTTTTGGCATTTTGCATTCTGCTTTATTTTCTTGATTATTAGTAAAAATACTAAATTAAATTAGATATGAGACTAAACTACTTTTATGAATTGCAAATTTTGTCTTTAAATTGATTACTTGTAAATATATTCTTGCTTAGAGACCTTTCTCCTGGATAAATTTCAAATAGTAAATTCTTAATGGGATTTTATTCAAAAAGTTACCAGGAAATGAGGAATTACTTAACATTGGATGCTTCTGATTTTTCCATCAGAATATTTCTTTCTAGTCTTGCTAATGCCCATCATGGGTGTGTTTAGGAGCTTTTCCCATGGGACTCTATAGCACTCTGCGTATCCCCCTCATCTGAAACAATTGAGTCTGTGATGGAGGTCTCTGCTGCCTCTCTGTCACTCCCTGGGTTTGATTTGTATCAAGTGACCAGAGTTTGGGTAGAACTTGGCCTTGCTGTGTTGGTTTTTAGTAGCCGTGGGAGTGCATTTGAAGCTATGTTCTACTGAAGCAGAACCTTCTCCACTTGTGTCCCTTGGGTCATAGTGTTTGGGGGGAATTGTGATTAGATTCTGTGGTGATTAGGAATAGCCTTTTTGGAGGAAGGCAGAAATTCCATTTTGCATTTCACTGCTGAATTAGCTTTTCTACTTCAGTGGCTAAAAGGCCAGGAAGCATGATCCAGCAGAAAGAAGAAAAAGGTTGATGAGATTGTTCCTGGGAGTTGTTCACGGAGGCTGGCATGGAAATGCTTTTCCAGGGGCTCTGCGGGCCGTGCTCTGGATTTAAGTCTGGCAACCTGTAGAAGCTCCAGTGGGAGGGAGGCTTGTGAGGATGGGATGTCCAGGATGAGGCTCCCGGCAACTGCTGCTCGGTGAGTCCAAAGCGGCCACCGTCCATTTCTCTTGGCTGTGACACAGTCGCGGTGCACGTTTGGTTTCAGATTTTGTCACAGAAGACAGCCTGTTTTTTCTTTCTCTGTTTAGCACTTAGTTTATGAAAAACTGTTCTTCTGAGTTATTTTATAAAAGGATGTCTGATTCTCAAAAGCGACTCATCAACACATAGTTTCTCTGGCTCGTCCTTTTAGTGGTATGTTTAATGTTATCTTGGAGAATTGAAATTCTTCTAGCATTAACAACGCAGTTGTTTTAAAATCCATAGGTGAGATACGAAGCTTTACAGACGCTGTGCTCAGCCCCTCCATCCGATGTCCTGAACTGTGAAAACTGGACCACCCTCTGTGAAAAACTGACCATGTCTCTGTCCGACCCAGATCCTGCGCTCACTGTAAGGAGACGGCCGTGAATCGCTCTTTTTGACCTAAGTGGAATTTCATCATTTTCCTTAGTAGCTCAGCTGTGGAACTTCAGTTTAAGGTTTAAATCACAAGCGAGACAAGAGGCAGGTAGTCATGGGAAAACAGGGTATCCGGATACATCTGTCTGTTATAAATCACACTCTTCCATCAGTGGGAATACTATTAGACTAGTGACAGAATCGATTTGGGAACACTTTTGTTATTTATATCAAAAGAAAAAGATGTAACCAGGCAGTGCTGGTGCACACCTTTAATTCCAGCACTTGGGAGGCAGAGGCAGGCGATCTTTGTGAGTTCAAGGCCAGCCTTTTTCACAGAGTGACTTCCAGGACAGCAAGGGCTGTTACACAAAGAAACCCTGTCTCGAGAAAAAAAAGAAAAGCATGCTTGCCTAGTATTTAGATGCAATTCAAAATTACAAACCCCAAAAAGTATTATACACTTCTATAAAAACTTTGATATGAAAACAAAGAGATATTTTAGGGTCACCTTTAGCATTTCAAAGCTAAGAAGAAATACAGTTGTCAGTTTGCCTGTCCCCGCCCCCTATATGTGAGGGAAGAGAATCATGTCTGAATTTATTTTCTTTATTTTAAAAGTGATAACTTTATTAACGTGGTAAAGTTACTGTGCCACAAGGTTCAGCTCATTACTTGGGTTCACAAATTACAAACGGTTGTTAGAAAGACAACTGCAGATCGGATCAAATCGTTTTGGACAAATGACTTCCTTTTGTTTTAAGTTTTTGCTGCATTTAAATTGCCAGCTACACCATTGCTGTTCTATAGAACTGTTATGTGTGACTGCCTGAAGCCTGTGGCATTTGAAAAATGACAGATTCTTATGAGTTTCTGCAGCTATGAACATGGACTTCAAACGCTTAACAGCCTTTGTTCAGTGGGAATGTCTTAGAGATATCGGAAGATATCATTAACCATCTGGGGACCTATTTCCTGTGAAAATATCAGCCTGGGTGATATAAACAAGGTTATTAATTTTGTTCCTGTAGATTAGAAAACGTGAGGCAAGATTGTTTTTATTTAATGGCAGCTTGTATTTCGCTCGTGAAATTACTCTTCCCCTGATATTTTAGTGGTTTATAGGACAACGAAGGGACGGGCACCATTGTAATGCCTGCTAGTGTCAGGCACATCTTAACTTGATTTGGTTCTCATTCAGTTTATTCTTTTGTATTTTTCTCCATGAGTTTTGATAAATTGAAAGTTAAAAATTTTATGTAGTATTTTTTTTTCTAATGAATAGGCACCGTTCTTAGAAAACCTCTCAAATGTTTACTAAATATAAGGAAACAATTCCTGGATTTGGAAACATTAGCTCTTGAAGTGGAGTGTTGCCGATGGGCCTGCTGCTGGATGACACCATTACCTAAGACTGTAGAGTCTCTCTGCAAGGCTTCATCCTCATTCACAGTGCCCACTGACCTGCTTTCTGCCCCTGCTGTTACCAGGTTTCACAGCCATGCATTTTTATCATCTCTCTTCCTATTAGTTGTGGTTAATTTTACTTTCAGTCACTGAACAAGAATATGCCTTTTAAAACAGACACGCCCATCTCCTGGGTTTCCACAGTGTGTTTTGTGTTTATTTTCTGTTTAAATGTATAAAGTGCTTCATCTGTGCTGTTGTAAAAAGCTTAGGTAAGAATGTGCTGTCTCATTTCTGTAGGACCGGATTTTAAAGTTCTATGCACAGACTTTTACGCTCTCACCATTACACATGACCAAGGAAATTTATACAAGCTTAGGTATGTTTATTACATCACTTCTAATGCTTTCTCTTATGTGTACTTAAGAAACATGCATAAGACATGACATTTTCCAGAAACATTATGTTGTATAATGACTATATATCTTCATCTTTCTTTTCAGCTAAATATCTGGAGTTATACTTTCTTTCTAGAGAAAATCACATTCCTACTCTTGCAAGTGGAGTAGACATAAGCAGTCCTGATGTGACCCGCTTACTGAAAAAGGTATCCGTTTCCTGCAGTGCACATTATGAAAGGTAGATCTATTATTTCAGAATTACAGTATCGTGAGAGCTTTTGTACACGTCTTACAGGTTCGCCTTCTGAATGAGTATCAGAAAGAAGCTCCATCCTTTTGGATTCGACACCCAGAGAAGTAAGTTCCTCAACTCAGGCGATGTAAGGCAGTGCCCCTCAGGTGTTTCAGAGACAGAAGGGAACTTCCATGGTTAATGTGCTGCTTAGGGTTTGTCAGCCTGATACAGAGTAGAATCACCCAGGAAAGGAAACCATCAGCTGAGGAACTGCCTTCATCACATTGGCCTATGGGGCATTTTCTTAACTGCAAATTGATGCAGGAGGGTCTCCTGTGGACAGGGCTTTCTGTAGGCTGTGGACTGGGCTGGGTAAGAGAAGTGTGCAGTGAGCCAGAGGAAGCAGGCTTGAGGGTGTAAGTCAGTAAATAGTACCTCCATGGTGTCTGCCCGAAGCTCCTGCCTCAAGTTCGTGTCTTGATGAAGTATAACTGGTAAGCAAACGCGAACCTTTTCTTCTTCAAGTTGCTTTTGGGCATGGTGTTTATCCCAGCAACATAGACGCACACTAGGACAGAGGTATTAATACAGTTTTTCTTTGGTGTATGCGTTCTTGTTAGCCATACAAATGGTCCTACCCAAGTATTGTTTTTATGTTACCAACAACATTGTGAAAGTAGGATGCTGAGGTCCTGGGTTCTTAGTGATGTTTGCTACTTTGGACAAGTTTCTTAAAATATTCTGATATGATTGTAAGAGCATCTGCAAGTCTCAAACTGAAAGTTACATCTGGAGACTTGAGTATTGAAGTAGAAAGAACGTAGGTTTTTAGAACAGAAAAACTGACTGTGATTCTTAATCTCTACCGTTTATAGAAAATAAAAACGAAAAGAAATTCTAAAGATTAAATTCCACATTGTTATTCCAGAAGGATAAGAACATCACTGTTCCCATGTACCCTAACCATTATTTGTTTACTTTTCAAAATGATTTTTTTCCCCAAAATCTAAGGTATATGGAGGAAATTGTGGAGAGCACTTTGTCCCTGTTATCAGTAAAACATGATCAAAGCCATCTTGTCTCACAGAAGATTTTGGATCCCATCTATTTTCTCGCATTAGTTGATACTAAAGCTGTGTGGTTCAAAAAATGGATGGTAAGGAAAAATTGGTTCTTCTCTCTGATTTTAGTGACTAGCCGGCTCTATGTGCCTGAGGTATGCTGAATTCTAATTGATTTGCTGCATATGTTAATCCTTTTACCTGTACACAGATGGAGTAGTGGTAGGGGCCACTGCCTTGTTCGGGGGTGTCAGATATAAGGCATGGGGAAGATATTTTGCTCAAAATGTTTTGCTTGGTGAAAGTCAGGATGGGATTTTTATGGAGTGATCTATTTGAGTCTATTCAAGATGAATGATCTATCAAGGATTGTAATTTCCATGAATCTAAACCTATAAAAATATAAATAACGGTGGCAGGTACAAGGATTCAGGGCTCATTTTTCTTCGGTTTAGAGCATTGGTTTTTCAATACACTTCCTAATGCTGAGACCCTTTAACAGAGTTCATCATGTCATGGTGACTCTCAACCATAAAATTATTTCCTTGCTACTTCATAACTGTAATTTTGTTACTGTTTTGAATTGCAATGTAAATACCTGATATGCTGGATATCTGATATGCAGCTTCCAAAGGGTTGAGACCCACAGTTTGAGAACCACTGGTTTAGAGGCTAATGCCTAGAATCAGTTTCGTTTGCTGCTTCCTGACCCTGAATTTGGGAATATGTTTAATGCCTGAATCTGTCAGTTTCCCGTGAAGCTTATGACATCCCCAAACGGGAAATCATGTTAAAGCGATCTTTGTACTGTCAGCCGTCAGCTGATGTGAAGTAGCAGAGTCCCTATCTTGTAGCAACAGCAACACTGATTTCTGTGTTCATTTTTTTCTCGCGCACATTGTCTACTCACCTCTAGGTATTTGTCTCGCTGGAACAGAGGGCGGGACAGGGACTTGCCATGCAAGTGTGACCCTCTCTGAATTTAGCAGAGCAGTTGAAAGCTGACTTTGTCTTTGGATGTTGAAAGTCTGTGATATGTGCCCAGTTTATTAGAGCACAACTCTGTAGTATGCATGACTTTACATAACCTATATAGTAATATTTGGTAGTCTTTAAATTCGCTAGTATTAATTAAATCAGTTCAATTAACCTGAATGTTTTGTACCCTCCATCTGATGCTTTTTAATTTTCTCAAAGATAAAACTAATTTTATTGAAGACAATATGCCAAAAATATAAAAGCATATTAAAGAAAACCCTATAAAACACAGGGGTCACCATTAAGTCTTTAGCTTGTAGGCAGAGGCTGCTCATTCGTTTTTTTTGGCCACCCAGATCTGAAATAATCACACAGAAACTGTATTATCACATCACTGCTTGGCCTATTAGCTCACACTTCTTATGGACTAGCTCTTATATCTTAAATTAACCCATTCCTATTATTTTATATTTTACCACGAGGCTCATGATTTACCGGTACTGGAGTGGGCGCCTTTCTCCTCTGGTGACTACATGGTGTCTCCCTGACTCCACTCTCTCCTCCCCTTGCTGCTGGGAATTCCCGCCTTGACCTATTCTGCACTGCAGTAGACCCAAAGCAGCTTCTTTATTAACCAATGGTATTCACAGCATACAGAGGGGAATCCCACAGCCTAGGTTTATATAGATTCATATTTACATAGTATATATCAATATGGTTAAGTGTTTTTAAAAAATTAAATTATATTCTGATAACTGTTTGCAAAGCCTTTTTACTGAACATTTTGATTTTCATTAAGTGAATGAGGCAGATCACCAAAATTAAACACTAAAATTTTATTATATTAATTTTTTTATTTATGCTTCTTAAAGCAACAGGAATTTATCTCATTCCCCTGTACCATTTGTGTCTAAGGTAAGAGTTGGCAGACATTTAATGGAAAGGGCCGGGCAGTCAGTGTTTCTAGTCTTGTGCACTGAACAGTTTTTGCAGCTTTTCAGTCTAAATGGTAACAGGTACAGGGTGTTCCAATAAGACATTTATACAAATTCATAGTGGGTAGATTAGGTTTTAGGGCTATAGTTTGCTTAACTTTCTGTTTTGAACCAGGTTGGTCTTGAACTCATTTTGTAGTTGAAATGGACTTGAATTCTGATTCTCATGCCTCCATCTCCCAAGTGCTGGGGATTATAGCTCTCAGTCACCATGTCTGGCAGAATAGGGTAATACTAAAGTAGTTTCATTTATATGCCAGCATATGTTCTTCAGCAATACTGAGAAATGGACTAATTGAAATGATTTTAAGCCAAAGAGCTAAATCACACAGGGTTTTGGTGAACTTTGAATAAAAGTACTGACTAATAAATTAAAAATCTTATCACCAGAATTCTGATGAATTTTTAGTGATGTTTTAATTATTTTGTTGTTTTTAAATAAAATGAAGGAACAAATTTAAGCATTAAAGTTGCTTAGCTAAAAATCTTATAATTACCCTTGGCTTCTGCAGTGTCCTATATGTATGTGTTTTAATTCCATCTAATATTGGTCCAAAGGAAATAAAGACATTTTGAGCATAGCCATTTATTTAAAAATAATATTGATATAGAGTGGCAAAGATGTTGTCTTGTTGGAGAATGTCACCTTTGCAAATTTCTGTGTGTGTAGTCAGTATGCAATTAGTGGTCTTATTCCCTCTCATTTATATATTATCCCACCTTGATTCATACACTGCTAGCTGGGCATACTACTTTGGAGGATTTTTTTTAAACAAACTAGCATAGAAATTGGATGTAGGTAATTAATTGTTGCCCTCATCTCTAATCTGTCACTAAATGGTCTACACTACTTTTATGCAATTTGCATTCTTGTGATTCCTATGCTTGCAGTTCATCGCACAGAGGTAAACTCTGCTTGACATTGATTATAATATTTAAATCTTAGTTATGGTGTGGTTTATGATATTGTAAACGATGGAGGAAATGGATTTCAAATGGTATACCTTTAACATTAAATGCTTTCCTCTTTAATTTTAGCATGCGTATTACAGCAGAACTGTGGTACTAAGACTACTTGAAAAGAAATACAAATCTCTGGTAAGCACATCTGGTTTTTTGCTGAGAAATAATATCACAAAAAGTTATATATGCAAAGTTGACTGACAATGATTCGTATTGGGTAATGAGGCAACGCCTTTTAATGTGACTGTAAACTCCTGTTCTATGAAATGTAAAGAGATAAAAGTTGAGTCTTAAAGTACAATAAGGGAAACATTTAGGAAACAGGCAAGTATATGGCAAATTGGGCTGCCTTAAGTGATAGACTAGCTTGAAAGAAGACATATTTTTAGGTATTAACTTGAAATTTGACTCAGGTCAGCTATTAATAAGGCAATTGCTTCTATAAAATATACGGATATGCTATGTGCAAGTGGCCTGAAAAAGACTCAGTGAGAAATGCTTTTGTGTCTGCAAAAAACTGACCTGAATTTTACTAAATACAGTTAGATACTATTAATGTCTTACCACAAATAGCCATGGCCATTGCTATTATGTAATAATGTCTAAGGATTCTGAAAGGAATTGAAATGAAATAAATAAAATAGATAATAATTGACAAACATGAGAACATGTAATTTTAAAACACATTTAAGACAATAATAAATATGGTTTATGTATTGAGGCAGAACTTTCAATCTATAAGTTATTTGAATGGAGGATTCCTGAAATTGTGAATTTTTGGATTTGAGCAATGGAGCAAAAAGTGACCATGGGAAAACTTGCTTTTGTGTTTGACAGTCTAGAGGGTATAGCTGGAGAAGGGGAGAGGAGCATGGACTAATGGCAGGGGATTTAGTGGTCCTGGAGAAGGGGAGAGGAGCATGGACTAATGGCAGGGGATTTTTTTTGTAGAGGCCAGTGGTCCTGGAAAAGGTGTAGGACAATTGAAATAGACTGTTTTTTGCTGTTATCAATACTTTATATATTTTTATTGAGCTATACATTTTTCTCTACTCTCCTCCCTTCATCTCCCTTCCCCTTCAATGCTCTCCCACGGCCCCATGCTCCCAGTTTACCTAGGATATCTTGTCTTTTTCTACTTCCCATGTAGATTAGATCATGGATGTCTCCCTTAGGGTCCTCTTTGTTGTAGGTTCTCTGGGATTGTGAATTGTAGACTGGTTTTCTTTGCTTTATGTCTAAAAGTCACTTATGAGTAAGTACATATGATATTTGTCTTTCTGGCTCTGGGTTACCTCACTCAATATGATATTTTCTAGATCCATCCATTTGCCTGCAAATCTCAAGATGTCATTTTTTTCTACTGTTCAGTACTCCATTGTGTAAATGTACCACATTTTCCTTATCCATTCTTTGGTCTTTGGGCATTTAGGTTGTTTCCAGGTCCTGGCTATGACAAACAATGCTACTATAAACATAGTTGAGCACATATCCTTGTGGTACAATTGAGCATCCTTTGGGTATATACCCAAAAGTGGTATTACTGGGTCTTGAGGAAGGTTTCCTAATTTTCTGAGAAATTTCCATAATGATATCCAAAGGGGATGTACCAATTTGCACTCCCACCACCAATGCAGGCATTTAGCCCACATCCTCTCTAACATAAGTTGTCGTCAGTGTTTTTGATCTTGGCCATTCTTACAGGTGTAAAATGAAATCTCAGAGTTGTTTTGATTTGCATTTCTCTGATGATTAAGGATGTTGAACATTTCCTTAGGTGTCTTTCAGCCATTTTAGATTCCTCTGTTGAGAGTTCTCTGTTTAGGTCTGTACTCCATTTCTTCTTATTGGATTATTTGTTCTTTTGATGACCAATTTCTTGAGTTCTTTGTGTATTTTGGAGATCAGTCCTCTGTCTGATGTGGGGTTGGTGAAGATCTTTTTCCACTCTGTAGACTGTCATTTTATCTTGTTGACCATGTTCTTTGCTTTACAGAAGCTTCTCAGTTTCAAGAGGTTCAATTTATTAATTGTTTCTCTCAGTGTCTGTGCTGCTGGGGTTATGTTTAGGAAGTTGTCTCTTGTGCCAATGTGTTCAAGTGTACTTCCCACTTTCTCTTCATTGAAGTTCAATGTGGTTGGCTTTATATTGAGATCTTTGATCCATTTGGTCTTGAGTTTTGTGCATGGTGATAGATATGGATATATTTTCATTCTTCTACATGTTGATATCTGGTTATGTCAGCACCATTTGTTAAATATGCTTTCTTTTTTTCATTTTACATTTTTTGCTTCTTTATCAAAAATCAGGTGTTCGAAGATGTGTGGATTGATATCTGGGTCTTTTATTCGGTTCCATTGGTCCTCCTGTCTGTTCTTATGCCAATGTCAGGCTGTTTTCAGTACTGTAGCTCTGTAGTACAGTTTGAAGTCAGTGATTGTGATGCCTCCAGGAATTCCTTCATTGTACAAGATTGTTTTGGATATCCAGGGTTTTTTGCTTTTTTATATGAATTTGAGTACCATTCTTTCAAGGTCTATGAAGAATTTTGCTGGGATTTTGATAGACATTGCATTGAATCTGTAGATAAGCTTTTGATAAGATTACAATTTTTACTGTGCTAATTCTACCTATTCAAGAGCATGGGAGATTTTACATTTTCTGGTGTCTCCTTCAATTTCTTTCTTCAAAGATATAAAGTTCTTGTCATACAGGTCTTCTACTTGTTCGGTTAGAGTTACTCTGAGAAATTTTATGCTATTTTTGCCCATTTTGAAGGGTGATGTTTTTCCTATTTCTTTCTCAGTCCACTTATCATCTGTGTACAGGAGGGCTACTGAGTTTTTTGTTATTCTTGTATCCTGCTACATTACTGAAAGTGTTTATCAGTTGTAAAAGTTCGTTGGTATAATTTAGGATCACTTGTGTAAATTATCATATCAACAAATAGTGAGAGTTTGACTTTTTCTTTTCCTATTTGTATCCTCTTGATCTCCTTTTGTTATCCTATTGCTCTAGCTAGGACCTCAAGAACTATATTGGGTTTTTTGTTTGTTTGTTGATTTTTATTGAGCTCTACATTTTTCTCTGCTCCCCTCTTTGCCTCTCCCTTTCCCTTCAACCCTCCCAAGGTCCCCGTGCTCCCAATTTACTCAGGAGATCTTGTCTTTTTCTACTTCCCTCAAGAATCTATATTGAATAGATTTAGAGAGAATGGACAATGTTGTCTTGTTCTTGGGATCGCTGGGAGTTTCTCTTCATTCAGTTTGATGTTGGCTGTTGGCTTGCTGTATATTGCCTTTATTATGTTTAGGTATGTTCCTTGAATCCCTGCTCTCTCCAAGACCTTTATTATGAAAGGGTGTTGTATTTTGTTTAACGCTTTTTCAGCATCTAATGAGATGATCATGTAGTTTTTTTTCCAGTTTATTTATATGGTGGATTACATTGACAGATTTTCAAGCTGAGTTAATCATGGTGAATGACTTTTATGTGTTGTTGGAATCAATTTGCCAGTATTTTATTGAGTATTTTTGCATCAATGTTCATTGGTTTAGGAGGTCAGGCCCTCTCTTCTTACAATAGTTCATGAGTGAGATTGGTCTGTAATTCTCTTTCTTAGTAATGTCCTTATGTGATTTGGGTATCAGGGTAATTGTAACTTCATAAAACGAGTTTAGCAATGCTCCTTCTGTTTCTATTGTGTGGAACAATTTGAGGAGTGTTGGTATTAGTTCTTCTTTGAAAACCTTGTAGAATTCTGAGCTGAAACCAGCTGGTCCTGGGCTTTTTTTTTGGTTGGGAGACTTTTGATAACTGCTTCTGTTTCTTTAGTAGTTATTGGCCTATTTAATTTGCTTATCTGTTCTTGATTTATGATATTATCCTGAAAGTTGTCCATTTCCTTTAAGTTTTCCAATTTTGTGGAGTACAGGTTTTCGAAATATGACCTAATGGTTCTCTGGATTTCATCTGTGTTCTGTTGTTATGTCCCCCTTTTCATTTCTGATTTTGTTAATTTGGATATTCTCTCTCTGCTTTTTGTTAGTTTGGATAAAGGTTTTGTCTATTTTATTGATTTTCTCTGAAATAGATTCTTTTATGTATTGTTTCTCTGTAATTCCTATTGAAAAGGAGATTTGTGCCATAAATACATGAACTTATCCTATTATAACAAAGTCAGAGAGAAAAGCCCTGAGATTATTCCTCAGTATTTATACCCAGATAGAAACTCACCCTTGATATCACAGAGGCCCCAGAAGTATTTAATGTGCTTCTTAGAGATTAGAGTCTGTCTCTTATTCAAAGCTAACTCCATCTACCAGTTTTTAGCTACCAGGTAAAATTGCTTTATTTTAAATCATCTTAACATTGTACTAACTTGGTCAAATACTTTATTTTACTTATGTAATGAATCAAACTTTCTTAAGGTTCTACCTGAAGCCTCGTGTTTTCCTATATAGCTAACTAAAGGTAAAAGCTAACAAAGGTTAATGTAAGAGGCTGGAGAGATGGTGCAGTGTTTAAGAGCTTTTGCTGCTCTTGCAGAGGACCAGAGTTTGATTCCCTACACCTATAGCTATAAACAAAAATAACCTTCAAGCTAGGTTAAATTCTATCTTGGCCTTCTCTGCCCTTCTGTATTTAACTCTACCTACCTTGTCTGAACAGTAACAATGAAACGAATAGTCTGGCTGTATGTTTAATTGCATAATATCACATGTCTGAAATGCAGTTGGGGGTTTGAGAACAAATGCTGTATGTCTGTTTGAAAACTAGAAAAATCCCCACTTGTTTCTTTGGTGTCTGCATTCACCCTGTCTGATTTCTGCTTTGATTTTTTTTCTGTCTTGTAATTGTTTTTTTTTTCTCCCCGTCTGTGATTGTTACCCTTTACCATCAAAGGATAGTTATAGTTAGATGTAAATAAATGAATCTTTTTAAAACAGTCACAGTTAAGAGACAGAATAGTAAGATAATAAAAGGTTGATGGAAGTATGAGTTAAGACTACAGCAGATAATTTGGATGAAAAGATGATTCAGGAGTTCCATATTTAGGAGGCAGTGATTAGAGATGGTGGCTTTTAAATGGGCAGCAGGTGAAGCCTCGGATAATAGAATGGTTACTGCCTTTAGCTGAGGTAACTGACACAGTAGAAGAACAATAATTCCTGGTAAAGATGACTATGCTTAGATGTGGTAGGTTTGGGTCTATTGCGTTTGAAATGCAGACCTCACCAGGCATAGATCTGGACCTCTGAAGTGTGGTTTAGGCAAGATGGAAGCAGAGAAAGATTCTTCAACCAACTTGTGGATTTTGTGGTTTTCTGGAAGGAATCCCAGAATCTAGCAGGTATGTTTCAGGCTGTCATGTATTAAAATGAAAGGGAACAAAATAAAAAAGAAAAGATCTATCCAGATGCCTAACGAGAGGGTAAGTTTCTGCTTGTCTTCTCCCCATTGGGTTCCCACAGGCCAGCTTATGTCTTCCAGGATTGATGATTGATAAGTTTAGTGAAATATTGTCTATGGAGGAGCCCCTTAGAGACTGTGCCCAGATTATTTTACTTGGTTTGGTCTGGGATCTCAGTAGATGGAAAACAGATGTGCAATATGAACAGCTGTATTTGTAGAAACCCTTTAGTTATATGGAAAGCCCTTTTCACCATTTTTAGGAATACTGACCAAACAAAGCAGCAATAACAGAAAAGTGACCTCTGCATGAACATGGCCTGCTCTTTGGAAGAGAAGTGTTGGTTTGCTCTAGGATCTTATACCAGTTGTTACTGCTATTCTGTTCTTTATGCGAGGTACCTTTGCATTTTCAGTTCTTATTTCTTTATTATATTCTAGCTTCCCGCACCCTCCCTTGAGACAGATCGCCAACAATGTTATATCACCTAAGTTAACTCTCACCAGTCCTTATCTCACCAGGGCATCTGTTTTGTTCAGCATTTAGAATTAAGAGTCATCTATAAGCAGTATGCCTGTGGGCAGGAGAGATGGCTCAATGGTTTAGGGCATTTGTTGCTCTTGCAAAGGATTCAAGATTGCTTACCCACACCCACACGGCCTCTCACAGCCGCAAACAACTCCATTTTAGGGGATCGTTACCTTCTAACCTCTCAGGGCTCCTGCATGCATATGGTACACAGAAACTCACACAGGCACATATTTGTAATTAATATAGGTAAATAAAATTTAAAAAGAAATGTGTCTGTGATGAAGGGGATTGGATATTTCTGCCGTGCAGAGTGGAGATATGATAATTGAGATCTTTGGGGACAGCCGGGCTGCACAACATTTTTATGCCTTTCTTCTCTGAAATTTGAATTTTTAAAGCTAGTTTTCTGCAATTCTGATAATTGAGGTGGTGACAAATGTTAGATCCATTTGGTATTTGTTGGTGGGTGAGAAGAAAAGGCCCCAAGTTAGGGAGGTGAGAAGAGACCGGGTCTGTCAGGCATCCGCACATCAAACATAAGGATAGTCTGTTTCCATAACTGTACTTTATTTAAAAAAAATTGATTATGCTTACTTGCATGTGTGTCAGTACACAATGTGTGAACTTGCTGCCTGCAGAGTCCAAAGGTTTTTAGATTGTCTGGAACTGGAGTTACAGATAGCTGTGGTCCACCATGTGGGTGCTGGAGTTGAACTTCTGTAAGTTCTCTGTAAGAACAGGTGTTGTTATAACCACTGATCCATCTATCCGGTACCTGTAGTTTAAATTTTAACGGTAAGTTAGCAGTTAATGGAGTAGTTTTCTCAATTTGTATGTTCTTAGATTAAGTTTTAAGGTCATCATTTTCAGTGATAGGATCTTATATAGTATTTCATACATATACATAATTAGCCTTTTTAATAGCCTTGATTAATTTTTAATTTTGTGACACAGTGGCTATGTATTTCTGAGACCAGTAAACTGTTATTATTATTTTTTGATCAGATAGCTACGGCAGTTCAGCAGTGTGTTCAGTACCTGGAACTGTGTGAGACAATGAGAACTGGTGACAGCTTAGGACATTCACAGCATTGTGGTAAGTATTGTTTTATTACATATACTAAGATGGCTGACTTCATTATAACAACTTAGTCATGGCTCACATTTCTTAAATAGCTTATTTTAAAAAGTGTACTGTATTCATTGTACATGGTACTGTATTACTTCTAACATGCATGTATAGTGTGCTGAGTACAGTTCACCCCTACCGTGTCTCTCTACCTTCCCCTTTTTTACATCTCATCCCCAGTGTCTTTTATTGTCCTAGACAGTCTGACCTCTGATTTAATATTGTATACATATATGTATATATGCATATATGTGTGTAATAAATTATGAATATACAGTACATGATTTATTTGTAACCTGTATATATATATATATATGTATGTATAATTTTATGTGTATGACATGGAACTAAAATGAGAGAAAATGCTTTTGCCTGAGATTAGCTTAATTTCTTAACATGATTGATTATCTCTTGTTCAGTCATCTTCCTGAAAATGACATGATTTCCTTTTTCCTTGTGTCTGAAAACACTATTCAACGCGTGTGCACGCGCGCGCGCACACACACAAACACGCACACTCACTCACTGACATATACATGTATATATCTCCATTCCCTTGTTGTTGAACACCTTGGCTGGTTCTATAACTTTGCTATTGTGAATGATGTCTTGATATCACTGATGTGTAAACAAGTCTGTGATACACTGGCTTAGAGTTCTTTGTGCCAACACCCAGGAATGGCATATCTGGATCATATGGTGCGCTTGTTTTGCATTTTCTGAAATTCCTTCATATTGATTTCCATAGTACCCGGGCTGGTATACCTTTCCAGCAACAATTTTAGGGTTTCTTTTTTTTCACATCCTATTCTGAGTTTTTTTTTTAAATTTCCTTGTTATCCTTTTATTAATTTTGTATGTATGGGTGTTTACTTGTATGTAATGTATGTCTGTGTACTACATGCATGCCTGGTATCAGTGGAGGCCAGAAAAGGGCACTGAATTTCCTAGAATTAGAGTTACAGATGGTTGTGGGCTATCGTTTGGGTGCTGGGAATTGAGCTCAGGTCTGCTGGAAGAGTAGTAAGTGCTCTTAACTACTGAGTGGTCTCTCCAGCCCACTCATTACTTATCTTCCTTATGACTGCCATTCTGACTGGGATGAGATGGAACCTTGGTGTACGTCAACGTCAGTTTTTTTTCTCTGATGGCCAATGAGGCTGAGATTTTCATACATTCATTGATCAGTTCTCTTTCATCTTTGATAACTCAATTGGCTCATTTTCTGTTTGGGGTGTTTGATTTCCTGTAGTTTTGTTTTTGGAGTTACTTGTGATACTCTAGATACTAATTTTCTGTCTGATGTGTAGCCAGCACAGATTTCCCATGTTGTGTAGGCTGCCAGCATTCAGTTCACTGCTCACTTTGTTGTACGGACATTTTGATATGAGGTCCCATTTGTTGATTGCTGGCTTTATTTTCTGAGCAGCAAAGTTCTATTGAGAAGTTTATCTTGAAGTGTCTTCCCCAATTTTTGATCTAGCAGTTTTAGCATGTCAGGTACTATTTTGAGTTCTTGGATACACTTTGAGATTATTTGTTCAGGTTGAAAGATAAATGTGTAGTTTCATACTCACATACGAAGATTATCAATTGTCTCTGTGCTATTTAGTAAGTGTGTCTTTTTGTCCCCTTTACAAAAAATGAGGTTATTGTATTTATTTGGATTGCATTGGTACTATAAGGTTATGTTACTGTGACTTTAGAAATCAGGTTACTCTAGACTTAGCCTTTTTGATAAGGATCACTTTGACTCCCTAGGGTCTGTAGTACTTCCATGTTAATTTTGAGATTAACTATTTCTGTGACAAATAACACCAGAATTTTGATGAAAATTGGATTGAACCTGCAGATTGCTTTTGGTAATATTGCCATTTTCATTTTATACTTACATCTTCAGTATTTAAAGTTTTATTTGTCAAGGTCAATCACTTCCTTGGTTCAATTTATAATGAGGATTTTGTTTTGAGGCATCATGAATGGAATTGTTTTCCTGATTTTTTTCTCAGCATGCTTTTTTTTTTTCCAAATGGGAAGGCTACTGCTTTTTTTTTTTAAACGTGGATTTCTTTTTTTTTTTTTTGTTAATTTTGTGTCCTGTCATATTGTTGAAAGTGTTTATCAGTTTTCTTATGATGTCTTTAGGGTCCTTTATGTGTTCAGTAATTTTTGTAAATAAGGATACGTTGACTTCTATTTGTATCTTTTTTTCCTCTTGTCTTACTGTTCTAGCTACTATTCTATTGTATAATAGTTGGTAAACGTAGACAGACAGTACTTCAAGTACTCTATTATATAGTTACCAAAAGTGGACAGGCACCTTGTCTTGTTTCTGATCTTAGTGGAAGTACTTTTTTATTTTTTCCATTTAGCATGATTGATGTTTTTTGGTATATTGAGGCATGTTTCTTCCATTCCTAATCTCTTCAGGACTTTTATCATGAAAGGATGGTAGAATTTCAGAAGCCTCAGATATATCTATTGAGATAATTTTGTGATTTTTCTGAAGTTTGTTTATGTACTATATTATTGTTATTGTTTTGTATATGTTGAACCATCTCTGTGTCTATGGAGTAGAGTCAGCTTCATCATGATGAATTATCTCTTTGTGGTTTTGAATTCAGTTTGTAAGCATTTTATTGAGAATGCCCACATATAATGTTCTTCAGAAAGATTGGTTCATAATTCTTTTTTTTATTGTTGTGTCTTAATTAGACCTGGGTTGCAGAGTAATACTGACATTGTTCAAAGGGTTTGATAGATGTCCTCCTTTTTCTGTGTTATGGAATAGTTAGAAAAGCACAGGAGTCAGCTCTTCTGTAAAGGTCTGGTAGATCCAACAGTGAATTCGTATGGCCAGGACTTGTTTTTGCTGGGAGATTTTGTTCTTCTCTGCATCAAACTCATTGCTTGCTCTAGATCTCTTTAAATTGTTTATTTTGAAGCTAGACAGGTGACAGAGTCAAATTAAGAGCACTGGATGATCTTCAGAGGACCTTGGTTCAATTCCCAGTCCCCACATAGTGGTTCCCAACCATTTGTAATTCCAGTTTTAGGGAATCTGATGCCTCTTATGGCATCCAAGAGTACCAGGAATTCATCAGGCCAATATGCAGGCAAAACACCCATACATATAAAAATACATCTTAAAAATAGCTTATTTCATTTTAGCTTAATTTTGACATATCATGTCTTTCTTGAAATTCATTTGTTTATTTTAGATTTTATGTGTTTTATAATGATATGAATTTTTTATATCTGTTGAATAACTATTTTCTTTTTAAATATTGATTTTATTAATTTGTTTTTTGTCAGTCTTTTGATTAGTTTGACCATAGGTTTGCCAATCTCAGATAGGACTTGTCTTATAAATGCCGTGATGAGCTATATCTCCCAAACTGAGAGCAACACAGATTTTCTTGCAATTAAATTGCTTTTGTCAGGCATTTTGACACAGTGATCAAGAGGAAGTATTAGAAAGGGCTTCATCACTGTGGTAAACTGGCCATGCGGCTCTTAGTCCCTTTGAACATGGTTTGTGGGAGGAATATGTAAGATGTTGGCACTCTGGAGAAGCAACATAAGGCAGCAGAAAGTGCTTAGCACACTATGCTAGTGGGGGCTCCTGGGTCTGAAATTTCGGGAGAGATGCAGACAATGTGGTTTATACCTACAGGGTTTCACAGGGCAAGGGAGGGATCAGGTTCCTGGTTAAAGGCCATTCATGTAACATCTGGAAAGAATTGGGCTATGCTCTGCCTGAGTAGAAAATTTCAGTGAGATTGAATTAAAGGTAATAGACCAATTTATTGGTGGAGGATATTTAAAAATGGCATGACAGAACCAGAGCAGCAGGGAATTTATTATGAGATTGTGACTTCTAGGAATATCGGAAGCTATGCCCATGAAGTCTCACCAATATGACTGCTTGTCCAGGACCTGAATAAGCCTGGCACCAGTAGATTTGCTAATATGTTTGGGAGAAGGAATTTTGTGAGCTGAAGAAATCGTCTTCCTCAGGGAAGAGCACACCAATAGCAAATGGTCAGCCCTGAAACAAACACTCAAGTAACATTATACAGACTGAGTCGGTTGTATTTAGGTATTTTGAAATAAATGAATATGTATGTGTTTATTTATATAAACACACAGGTAACAACAAAGGCCATAGACTTGGAAGAGAACAAGGTGAGGGCAGTAAGTGGGAGGGCTTGGAAGGAGGGAAGGGAAGGGGGAAATATGCAATTATGTCATAATCTCAATAAAAATTTTTAAACAAACAAAATCTCAGCTTAGTGTTCAGGTTGTACATGGCTATTACTGTTTTTGGCTACCAGTTAGAGTGAGAGATCAGAAGATAGAATAGAAAGATGTGAAGAATATGCAGTGTGCTAAGGAGAGAAGCTTCATGCTTGTGGAGAAGATTGGCATAGCAGCTACAGGCAATGGAGTGGTAATTTTTGACACTAGGGACTCTAGGGACTAGTGTCACGAAAGAGAAACCTTATGCTTTGTATTTGAATAATATGAATGTTTGCTTGAGGGTAAGACTCTGTAGCCTCTAATATTTCTCCAGCCTATAATACAGAGGCGTTTTAGTTGGATTTCAATTGCTGTGATAAAACACCATAGCTATTAGCAACTTGGGGAGGAAAGGCTGTATTTCAGTTTACACTTCCACATCGCAGCAGGTTCATCAGCAAAGGAAGTCAGGGCAGAAACTCACTGCAGGAACCTGGAAACAGAAGCTGAAGCAGAGGCCTTGGAAGAATGCTCTCCCTGGCTTGCTACTTGTGGTTTGCTCAGCCTGCTTTGTAATACACCCCTCTCAGTAAACTAGGGCCTCCCACACAAATCAGGAAGATGCTCCACAGGCTTGTTACAGGAGACATCTTCTCAGTCTCAGTACTCTCTCCCCAGGTCTTTCTCTATTTTGTGTCCAGTTGCTGAAAACCTAACCAGGACAGTGTGGTATTTTAGATTGCCCTCTTGAACCTGTTGCAGTGTCTGTGTGTACTCTAAAAAATAGTCATCAGTTGCTCTACTGTGGCCTCTTAACTCTCTGCTGGTGCTTAGACCCAAACCCAGGGCATTGCCATGCTAGACAACTTGTCTCCCACTGAACTACACCCCAGGGCCACCATGTGGACTTCCTTTTGGTACCTTCCCTGCATCGCACTCATGCATGCGTGTTATTCATTAAACAAAATCAAACAGCCTGTTTGTGCTGCGTGTGTGGATGACCTCTCTGCTGGCCTTCCCATCTGGGAGGACTCTACTAGAAGTTTTTGTTTTCTTTCAGGCTCCAGCTCTTCATCTGATGTGCTTTTTTATGGCAGAAATGCGGCTTCCTCCTTTAGTACCATGTGGCCTCCGCATTCCCGAGTTCATGCTTACCTGCCCCTCTCCGCCCATCTCACAGACTAAATCTGCGGGTCTTCTCCCTTTTCCTAACACTATCACTCTTGCGTGGATTCTTCCTCCTCAGCTGACAGGCTGTTCTCATTCACTTGAGACGTGCTTCTCTATTCTTTATTCATTCCCAGAAACTTTGCTTGTTTACATCCCCGCATCCCCCTCACCCCACTTGTCCTTTTGAGAGAGTCCATTGAGTTTCATGGCTTTATGTATTATTTAATTTTATGTAATGTAAATGGCAACTGAAATCTTCAAGTGCACATAATGTTCCTGAATTTCACACTTTTATGTTACTTAACGTTGCTGCTGGAATGTTAAATCAGCACTTGCGGGGCTTTAACGCCAAAGACCCAAATTGCTCTTTATTCTCTCTATCCCTATCGTTTTCTTTATTAGAATTACTTAAAAGTATAAGAAGAAATTCATCACAAAGCTATGAACTTGAGTTTTCCCTACTTTTATCATTCTTTTGATGTTATTGTGTAATTCTTGCTAAATCATATTGATTTAATCTTCTGAAACATGTATTTTTGTCTGTTTCCTCTTTACTTTGCTAACACATTTATTTATATATTCTTTAAAAAGTTATTTTTAATTTTAACTGTGCATTGCACTCATGTATTTTTATGGGGGTGTGTGCCTGTGAGTGCAGTTGCCTGTGGAGGCCAGGAGAGGGCATCTGATCCTGTGGACCTGGGGTACAGGCAGTTGTGAGTCTTCTGACCTGAGTGCTGGGAACTGAACTTGGGTCCTCTGTGAGAACAGTATTTGCTCTTCACTCCTGATTCATTTCTCTAGCCCCTGGTTCATAATTTTGAAATGGAGTTTCTTACTTCAGACTTTGACCTTGTTTCATCAACTTTCTGTACCACTATCATGGTTCATTCTTGACAATTCAGGTTCGATTGCATTGTCTTCCTAAAATCCCTCCAATATCTTCCCCATGGCCTCTACCATAGAGTTCAAATTCCCTCTGTGCCTTATTCCTCCATGGTCTAGTAATTTATCCTCTCCCACTTGTCCTTCAGCGCTCTGATTATACCATACTGTTACCAAACACTGAATGGAAAAACAAGTTTCATGTTACTTACTGTAGTTTTCCAGGGGTGTGTGTGGATGTGTCTGCTTGTATATGTGGATGTATAGTGTATATATGTGTGTACATGTATGCACGTTTATGTGACTTGTTTTATGTGTGTGTCTGTTTGTATATG